TATATATGGGTTTTGTAATTATTTTTATCCTTAGCTGTAAGGGAGCTAACAAAATTCACAAGTTAATTATACCTCAACAATTTTCTAATGTTAGATAGTTTACATTAACACGTAGGAGACAATATTATCACTGTACAAGCAAGCATAAATTTAGAGCAGTAATTATGCAATTTTGATTCTTGGTTTTAACCAGAAGGTCTAAGAATAAAATGTCACGTGTTCAGACTTACAAAATCCTTATTTCATTAAGTAAACAATTACAATCTAATGTGGGATTCTCTTTAATCTCATAAAAAACTTTGGGGTAGCTAAAATTGTTAGAGTCAGGAATTTAACTCAAAATATGCTTTCTTATATAATTACCTGCTGCCTTTACATGCTCCTTGTGAAAAGTAATTCCAGAGCTTCACTTATGGAGTTATATTAGTAAGAACTGAAAATGTACACTAAATGTTTGGTGTTTTTTAAGTCTTTTATCATTAACTTTTTCTTTTATTAGTGGTATATTTATAACTCTGGAGCAGAATAAGTCTCTTTCCTCAAGCTTCATTTACATTTTATAGCTGAATTTGGTATAAGTTTTGACTATCGCACCTACTTCCTTGTTTCACATGCATCTGGCAGCTTTCTGGATTTAAGACTCTAGAGTCTCATGAGGTGAAACCTTGTGCATTTGTAATACTCTTCAGCAGGGCCTTTTTTTTTCTGACAAAGAGAGAGAAATATTTTGACAGGTATTAAAGAGAACTGTCTTCGTCCTAAATACAGCCTCTGAAGTTTTCCAGTAATGTATGCATAAAATGACTTTGCATCCTCTTGACTGCAGCTTCTTTTTTTTTTCCTTTTTCCTGAGCGAACAGGTGTCATGCAGTTGAACTCAAGGGTCACAGTAATGAAAATGTGAATCTGGGTTGTTTGTCCCATGTTGGACAATGTGACTGTTTTCAGTTTGGTGAAGAGAAAAGAGTATTCAGGATTTTTTTTTTTCCCCTGAAAAAAATCCCTGTATTTAGCACATAGATGATTTACTTTCTCATTTGAAAGTAAAGGTGAAATAAAAAGAACTTGCTTTTGCAAGCTGCACATGTAATCAAAATTACTATTGTGGCCAAGACTGAAATAAGTGTTGTTTCTCTATCTGAGTAGCATTCTGAAAAGTGATATAAAAGGCATGGTTTTATTTTTCTGGCAAAGTTCTGAATGATAGGCCTGTGATATTTTAGTACCTAGAAATGCAGACTAGTCACAAGAATTGAATTGACTTAAAGGTTCTGTGTGCTTGATTTCTATTGTTTTGATTCTTTTTTTCTCTGTAGAAGTTTGTTAGACACCCTGTTCATACTAACTAACCTGAGCTTCAGTCGTATCTTGTTACATACTAGTAAGGCAGAAAGATCTGATGTGAAATCATCACAGACTAAAACAAGAAGTCTAGTTCATCAAGTTGTCATTGTAACGTATGCATTCTTAGAACCCTTTTTGTCTGAGTAATTGAAAGCATACTTGAAAAAAAATTCTCAATGTGCTAAATACTTTTTTTTTCTTTCAGACAAAATCCGGAAACTACCTTTGAAGTGTATGCAGAAGTAACCTATTCAGGAATCAGTTGCATTGGGAAAGGTACTGTTTTGCACTGCAATTCTACCCACTTATTGGCTAAAACTATTCTTAAGAACCGTGTATTATGAGATAATGAAGTATATTTAATATTATGCTGTTCTAGCTTTTAAAGGTATCTTAATTACTGGTTCTGCAGAATCTTTTACAGTTAGGGCTAATAATGAGAAATTCTTGCCTCCATCGCTGATTGTGGGAAACTTTCTGATTTCTTTGACTGTTCTGCCTTTTTTGTCTTTTAAAATAGAAATAATTCTTACTTCATTAGATTGAAAAAGTAAATGCATTTTCAGATTTGTATTTGCTGCTCATATAAGGAAGGGGTAGTTTTAAAACAAAAAATACTCTAAAACTTACCATGTGGAATTTATTTTTGCTTCCTCTTTCTTACTTGTCTACAGAAGTATTTTTATCTGTTTCCAAAATTCTTCCTTTGATCAAGTGATTTTATCTAGAAATAAGGCATGAAAGCAGCTTATGATTTGGTTAACTATTTTTGCCAGACGTTGTTATCAAGCCATAATTATACAAGTATTTTGTATAATATTACTTCTGACAAATATTCCTATGCTTATGCTAGAGAAGTCCCATAACTGCCGAAACCAAAGTGTAGGTATATTTATTATTTAGTGAATTTTTGATTACACTTTTTTCTAAACCTGAGGAACTTGATCAAATAAGCAGGAAAAGCAAAGGTTGAAATTCATAATCCCAGAATTTAGTTCAAGATACTGTTTTGTGAGATCAGTCTCTAGAATGTTATGAAAAGGAGGGATGTCAAAATTAAATAATTATGATTAGTCAACATATACTGAAGTAATACTTTTCTTTTATGAAATGATCATGTGTGTATTGTATATATGGTATAATGAACCAATAGAAAAGATTTTTATATTTTATTGACTGGAAAGCCACTTACCTCCTTTTATATCTGTATTTGTTTGTTACAATCAGCAAAAGTCAAATAGCTGCAACTCTTTCCTCTACTGCCAAAGCCTCCATAGGAGTTGTAACTGGAATACAGTTTTGGCTTATCCTACTGCTATATGCCATCATGACTATTTGATCTAACTGCAGGAGCCCTTTTAATAACTGGTCTTTGTTTCTGCACATCTGACCTGGATTCTAGTGCCAGAAAATCTGAACAAATTTGACCATAAACATTACATTGTACAGTACTAGTGTCTGGGTATAATCTTCTCTTTGAAGTTTGTTTGCATCCCCCTGGAGGGATTAATTCCCTGCTGTGGGAAGGTGGGTTAAAAAGCACGGAAACTACTTTACAGGTTTTTAATTGGAGAATTTAGTATACATTTTGTTCTATAAACCAACTGATTCTGTGGGAGTTTCACTTAGTTGTGTTTTTAGGTTTGTTGTATGCACTTTTAGGTGCAAAACCTTCAGAAATTGTTTTCAGTGAGTAAAAAAAATTGTTTTAACAATTGTTTTTACAACTCATATATTCTGAAATTACTAATTCTCTCTGAATAATCTTTTAAAAGATTTTTCCCAACCAACTTTTTTATATTTAAGAGGTGCCCTTTATTCTCAGAAGTCTTAGATTTGTGTATCCCCAGATATTCTGTCCTTCTGTTCTAAATGAAGGTAGTTGGTTGGTTCTCCGCAGTGTTAACTGTATTTAACAGCTATTCTGTATCCCAGGCAAATCACCATTCTAGAAATACAGACCTAGAGACCTAATCTTTTCTACTTCTTGGCTAGCTATTCTATGCCAGAAGACCAAGAATATATATATACTTTTTTTTTTGCAGTCAGGGAATGTATGTTACATGGCAAGGAGCAATTACTGTTAAGAAAAGCAAAATGTATAAAAGGTGTATAAGGAGCAAATTATCAGGCATGTTTAAAAAACTATTTCTTCCCATGTAATGGATCCCAAAATTAACTAAGACAACTGTTTTTGAAGTTTGTGTCTAGTATAATGGTGCTATTGATCACTTAGAATGCTCTTAATTCTTACATCAGTCTTCTGACATGCTCTTGAGAGAATGAATTGCTCCAAAGCTGTAACAGTCCTAGTGCGGGAGATTGTCTGGCTTGTGGGATGGTAAAACATGCCTCTATTTTGTTTTATTCAAAAGTTTGTGTAGGAAAGGATGTTTTCCATGTGACTGTTAAGTATCAACTGCGATTAAAAGCTTTAATATATTTCATAGTCCACTTGCATTTTGCTGAAATGGGAGATACTGACTTGTGTTATTAACTACTGACAGACAATCATACATTCAAGTAGCTTTATTGCTCATGTAATTGTTAACAATCTTGCATTAAATGTTTATTTGGTTAATAAATTTTGAAATGAATGAAAGCAGCATTATTCGTTGACTATCATATAGAAGGCTCCCTCTTAGTTACCAAGACAATTGACTGCAGAAGGAAAAAGTCTGTTCTGGGCTCCAAGACATCAGTAAACTGGAACAAGTTCAATGGAGGGCCACCAAGATGGTGAGCGAGCTAGAGCACTTGCACTGTGAGGAGAGGTTGAGAGTGCTGGGCTTGTTCAGCCTGGAGAAGACTTCAGGGAACCTGAATAGCAGCCTTCCAGACCTATAAGGAGTTCATCAAGATGAGATATCCAGGCTCTTCACAGTCATGCGTGACAGGAGGACAAGAGGCAATGACATCAACTGAATCAAGAGGCGTTCTGAGTACCAGGAATGTGTTCACCATGATGACAGTAAAGTATTGGACTGGGTCACTCAGAGAGGTGGTGCAATCTCCATCCTTGGAGGTTTTCAGGACCTGACTGGGTCACAGCCTGAACAACCTGGTCTGACCTCACACCTGGCCCTTCTTTGAGAGGAAGTTGGACTAGAGACCTCCCGAGGTCCCTTCCAGCCTGAATTATCCTATGATCCTAAGATTTGATTCCTAGAAATGTAAGCTTCAGGAACATCTGGAGAATGTTTTGTACTCTTAATAAAGGATGAAGAAAAAACTTCATTGAAACCAAAGAAGTTGAAAAAGCAATCATTGTTTTATTCCAATCCAGGCAGAACTCTGCCAAACCACAATGAAATGTGTGAACTGAGAAAGGAAATTATCGCTGGATCAGCTCATCTGTGGTCTCTCTGTCCTTTCCCCTCTAGATTGTTTAGAAATAATGATCGTCTGTGCTCAGCATTGGTAATTTGTATATTTCTGGCACATGAAGTCTTTGGTACTTTATACAATTCCAGCATTCAGTTGTATCTAAAAGCTGTGTTTGTGCTTTTCTTTGTTATATTCATAGATCTTATTTGGGGACTTACGAATTTTTCTTACTGGGTCACTTTATGCAAATGTGGTATCTTGGTTTTGAGAACTGTGAAGCAAGATAGCTGCAACTGTGACGAGCAACATTAAGGTGAATATTTGTTATTAAGAAGGTACTTCCTTAAGAGAAGACAATTACCGAACCATTTTTTTGCCTTATGATTGTGATTTCCATGGAAGCTGGGAATTCCCCTTAGCTAATTGAATCTAAGTTAGTGTGTGTGTGTTGGTTTGTTTTTTTGTTTAAAGAACATTTGACTTCCTAAAACTGAATGAAAATACAAAACTGCTTTTATCTTAACTTTGTTCCCACTCTTTTTTTTTTTTTTTTTTTTTTTTTTAATTTGGGCTGTCTGGAATTCAGAATTTCTTCACTTAATACTTCAATGATGCATTCATTCATGTTCTACTTTTCAGTTTCATCAAATAGCACTGTTCTCTTGTCCATACCCTCTTCTGATAAAATGTTGATGCCTTCTCACCAAAAGTCTAGGGCAGCAAAACAGAATAGAAAGAATGGAGTCTGCATCTTTACAGTGACAGTAAATGGGAGTTACCTAGTGAGAAATCTGTGTTGTGTGTGTCAAGTATAAGTATGTCAAGCATAGGAACTTTGCAAGTCTAGTGCTTCTCACCAACTCCCACACATTTACTTTCAGGAAGACAGGAAAAAATAATCATGGTTTTATTTAAAAAATGGAATATTATTATAGGGAAAATATTCACTAAAACTTACAGTGTTAATACTTTGATTCTCTCCTTTGTAGTATCGGGTAATGACTGGTTAATGATGGTAACTCAGAGGAAAAGGTGCAGTTCTGAGGCTGATAAAGAAGCCTGGCTAATAGGCTGATTTAGGTTAAATAGTCTTAACAGGTGCCTTTTGTGCAGTGGTGTAATTGGGATGGAGTAAGATGCTAATACATACATAAACAAAGATGGGCACAACAAAGTCAGCTCTTCGACAAGTATGGCTGGTAACTTTGGCTTTCAGCCATTCCAGGTGAATAGAAAGGTTGTTAGGACTTAAAAAAAATTAATTACTAACACAAATTCCAATTCACATATATGGCTCTAATATTCTGTGGCCTACGTGTGGGGTTTGTGTCTTTGCCTTCATGCATTTTAGTACTGTGTAGTTCTGACAGTAGGAGAATTTCTAACTTTCTTTATCACTTAGATATAAGGAGGCCATCTGCCTTGCTAAATCCAGGTGTATTGCTTTTAAAAAAAACACAACCAAACAAAAAGTTTTTAGATTTATCATGATTATTTTAGAGGTTTCACTGATATGAGTTAACCTTGCTTCAGGAATTAAATAAAATAGAGCTTTAAAAATCATAGAGGGGCATAATAATACAGCTTATTGCCCAGCAGATACCAGTAATATATTCTGCACATCATCTATAATTGCATTAGTTTTGCCTTTCTGTTGTGATACTTAAGTAACTAAATATGACTTGGGAGAAATGAGTAGATGTATGTTTTCGTTGACACTAAAATAATTATTATAGCACTTCTGAACACTACATGCAAGGTTTAAAGTCTACCATTGTTTTTGTTAGCATACTGCTTTATGTTATGTTATGTTTTACTGTTCACCCTAGTTTAAGAAAAATGTTTACAACCAAACTTTGTTTTCAGTGCTTTTCATACTCAATGATACCAAAATCTTTGCAGCAGAGGATGTCTGTGCTGCTTGTTTCATCACTGATGTAGCTGGTGCT